TCATATAAAGATAAGATTTCATATTTTAAAGAGGAGTGTTAAAAGGAAAAGTTTTAGTGAATAGAGAGAGAGAGAGAGAAGAGAAGAAGTGGTTTTGTTATCAAGGAATATTCTGTGCGTACTAAGACATGAACGACCCAGCAGTCCTCAGGGCATTCTGCCACCATTAGCAACGCAACACCTAGTCAACTACCGCGACTCGGTGTTCTCAAACGTACGATAGACCGTGAAGATGGAGTCGCTTCAGGAAAGTTAGAATGCCCTCGCAAGGCTACGCGGTTCGTTTGATGGCCTCCTCTTCCTCCGTCCTGGACCATCCACGTGTTTCCACTGGATGACCGTTTACACCATCAGGTTTGGTGGCACATATTATATACCGGTGGAAGAAAATAGAAGAAGAGAAGGTTAAGAGACGAAGACGGACGAAGCCAAAGGCAGAGACAGAGCGGGAAAGAGAGCAAGAGAACGCGAAGGAGGAAGAGAGAAGGATAGACCGTTGCTTTCTTGGGCTCCGGCGTGCTTATTGCGTGATATTAGCCACGGTGGCTGCCGCCACTGCTGGGATAATCATAATCTCGAAAGGGGGACAAAACACAGGCCCCGAATCGCATAACGCTGAATTTTACGACTTCTGGCATAGAGGAGACGCGACCGGATGCAACGCGGCTTTTTATGCTCTCCTAACAGCCCCCGACTTGATATCACGCCCAGAGATGAACGGCTTTTCGAAACGTCTTCCCGACCGTCGTCGTTGGATTCGCTTGTCGGATTCGCCGTCATTGAACTCGAATACGAAAGTGTCGACGCACAGGAAGGTACTAAAGGAGAGAAGAACGTCAGCCTTGTAGAGAGTCGAGAATTAAGTTTGCCAAAAGATACAAGAAGAGAGAATATCAAAAATTCAGTTTTTAATCTGCTATCAAATTACGTTATAAACCAGCGTTCCGATGTACGCTGTCATTACTGAGTCACCTATAGTTCATGTTATGTATACTACGGATTTTCACTACTGGTGTACATCGCAACATGGCTATAAAAACTAGTTGATTATTAAAAAAAAAAAACTCATTACATTATATATGTAAATGTGTGAAAAATTGGTCGAGAGCAATTTCTCACTATTTCTATGAAAATACGAGTATACCTTGTTGTGATGGAAAGTCGGGTCGCTTTTTGCTCTGGTTTAGTGTGTCTACGATATAAAACTAGCCGATATACTTTCCGCTCGAAGTAATTATTCCGAGAATTCGATCTAATTTACGCGTTTGCATAGGCACACTATCGGACCGGTGCGCGTTGTAGAAAAAAAGAGAGAGGGAGAGAGAGAGAGAACAGGCACCCAGCGGCGTTACATCGCGTTTCGCAATGCTGTATGAAATCAACGGCGAATGAGGCACTGAATGGAAGCGAATTGCGCGAGTCGAGACGGCGAGTCAACGCGTTTCGAAGCGCACAGACTGCGTAATAGGGAGGATATTTTTTTCACGGAAGATACTGAATAGAAGGTTCCGCGACGATTTTTACCGTGACATAAGTACGGTCTTGTAATCTCTGGGAAATTGAGATCGTGAGTCACTCACTGTAAGGTCGCTCCGCAACGGGTTCGCACGAATCTGCAACAGAAAGCATTCGCATTCGATTAGCCATAGCTCTGCAACCGTAAGTGGAGCGATTAATTATTCGTATTTGGTATTAGCCGGCCATTTTGGGTCTCTCAAGCACCCGCTGCGATCAAGATAGAACATCGCATAATTTGTATTTCCATAGAGAGTGCATCGCGATTATTAATTACGTTTGATAAATGATATCGTGTAAGACAGGATAAAATCAAACTGATATGAAAAAGAAACTTCTGAAAATGAAATTCTAGAATTACTTGTGCGTCTGAGAGAAAAAAGAATGTTCATAGTACAGCTTTATCCCATCTTACGGTAGTAATATTCATGATGTAGATGTATAAATCCCGATCATCTATTACACGAGGTTGATACACGCGGAACTAATAATCGTTCCGCTGGTTTCCAATTGTCATGATTTCGAATAATTATCTATTACTGTCGGTAGAGTAATAACTCTATTTCTATATCTCATTTCACAAGGATCGCGTCCAAGTCAACAAGGTTGAATGCATGCATATATCGGGAGCCTCGAGAGTGAATTCACATCGAAGGAAACAATGTGTATTAAATTACACGCGTCACGTCGCGTAGAGGAAGCTCTCTGCGGATAATTTTGCCGTTGATTTTTAATTCTCATCCGCTCAATGACACAGGTTAGCGCTACGCACACTCTCGTTCATCCATGACGATTGCAATGTGATCGTGATTCATACCCGATATAATCGACGCAATCTCGGCGCAATCGCGACGGCGGATCTATTCAAGCGAGCCGGCCGTCTGTTTTTCTCCTCGCTCATAATTTGCATATACGTTCAGAGAACATTCCCGCGATAATTTATCCAACCCGCGAGTGTACCACCGTGAGCCGATCGCCGTAAGTGATTTCTAACCAGCTGGCCGCGAGAGAGCCGCTTATAATTCGCACTGTAATGGGGAACTTACGTAACGTCGTCGTCGGTAATCCTCACGCGCGCATTGCCCGCTAATGCGCCAAGCTGGCTAATAGCGTCGTCGCGCGTCTTGAGCCCGGGATCGGATCGGGGGCCTGGAGGCACGCGTCGTCGCGCGTACAGCCAGTGCGTAAAAGCGAGGAAGTTTTAAATGGTACCTCGGCGGAGCCGGGCACCTGCTAAAGCCGAGGGATCGGCTCGGCGGGAGCCGGTAAATGTCTCACTCAAGGCGCTCGTACGCGGCTCTAATGGAAGCCGCTAGGTAGGTCATCGGCTGTCATAAACGCGCGCTCGTCCACGTTTCCTCGACGGCGCGGAGCGTGTTAATAGCCTCATTAGATATCGCGTCGCAATGGCGTACGTACCGCGATCGATCGGGATCGTTGAAATCTCCCACTCTGCAGCGCTTTTCATAATTATTTTATTAACTCAACGGGAATCGAAATGACTCGCTTTCCACATAAACAAATTTGTCTGTCTGATTATGTCTCATTATGTACTCGTTATGAGTAAATGATAGACTTCATCTAACTGGATAAGACTACGGACAGACAATTCGTTTATACAGTGAAATTATAGGAAAGGAGTTGTTTTCTTTTACATTCCCTGCATTGCGTTTACAAAATAATTATAAAAATTGAATTCTAAATTAAACGAGTGTGGTAATTCTATTATTTTACATATTATAATTTATAATAAAATATACGTGTTTGATTATAAAATCATAAACGTGTAACCATTAATTTCCGGCCAAAAGGATAAGGTATATAGATGATGCGTGAAATGAGACGACGTATTTGCGTAATTATGTCATAACCATTCTTCTAATGTCGTTCTTCATATAGGATACACCAGCATTATCTTTTTTCCTCTCAATTATGACATCGACTTCTCTACAGTCATTAGCCTCAACATTAGCGCCAATGGGACACGGTCTTCCCAGGCTGTCAACCATTCAAACATTGACCATATCAAATGTTGCTTAAGTTCGTTAATTAACCTCTCAACTCTACAAGCAAATTCAGTAACGTGTGACCATACGAACTATCGTTATTTTACGGAAATGCGATTTCTCTGTATGCATAATTTTCACATCTCGTAACATGAAAATTGTTACACTGTTAAGTGTATTTTCTTACACAAAAAAAGATTATGCATATTTGAGATATTTTTCGATCAATTTAATTGTGATATTATTTCAGTTTCAGTTTATAATTGCATCTCAATGTCTGGCAGTGAGCAGTTTATGTAACTGATTGTGAGGTTCTTCATTTTCTGGTTTAACTTGTGGTTTAGTTTTAACCTCACTTAACTTGGCGATTATCTAAAAATTATGTTTTTCTAGCCACGATAAATTACTAAACTACTGGTTTTGTAGTGGTAACCTTAAAAGTTACTCACTACACGAATAATTTTTAAATTACAAATATTACAATTTGCAAAAGTTACCACAAATTAATCAGAAAATGAAAAACCAGAAAACCTAAACGATGTACTCGGAATTTACATATAAAAATATTATTAAACACCAAGTGCTTCGACCAGATTGGCCTTTTCCTTCATTATTTTATTGAAACATTTCTCTCGTTTCCAAGACTTTAATTACAAGCAAAATTGCACTGGATTAAGTCAGCAGTGGAATTAAGATAACTTGCGACCTAATAGATGGAGAACTTGGAAATAACTTACTGTTATTATCTTTATACTTTAATAGACGTGATATAGATATGACAATATTGCATTTACACATACACGCTTATTTGCTAAAGTAAGATGCACTCGATTTGCCTCATTTGCATCGACCGCGCGCGTTTCTCATCCTGCAGATAAGCTACCAACAAAAATTCCAACTAATAAAACGTCTCTCGCGACGGTCTTCCAAGAATCTCATCGTCAATATTAGAGTCAGCTAAGCAATGCCACGGCATTGAACGTGTTAAGTTTCATTAGTTACCATATATACGTACGCCTGCATTCAACAATGTGCACATCTCCGACGACACCCGGTCGCGCGATCGAATGCTCAGATTACATTCAATGGGACGAAACGTCCTGCATCTGGAATTCCGTAGAACCTGTCGCGAGACCCTGCATCATTGACAGTCGCGGACGAGAAAAGAAAGGAGAAAAAAAAAGGAAGATACTTCGCACCCGTCGATTTATCCGTCGTTAATCGGCGATCACGGTGTCGTATTCTAATATTTTCCGTGAAGCGTCGCGCGCCATCACGAATTCTGATTGAGCTATGACCGGGGCCGGGGCCGGTGCGTGTATCGGGCCCCAAAGGTGCCAACGGGGTCGGTAGCGATGGCCGATAAATATTAAACGACTTTCCACCTGTCGCGTCGTCATCGTTGCGACGGAGGGACAGGGGAAGCACTTCCGAGAGGGAGATGACTGAATGTTAATTAGCGAGGCGTGACAAGTGTTAAGTAATCCATCCATCTACCTATACGTCAGGAGGGAGGAGCTTGCCTAACGTTCAGTAATTAACGCGACACTTGGAGCCCGGCCACGCACCATCGGCGAAACATGGCTCGTTCTTGTGAACGGCCGCACGCAATTAACCGGCGATTTAACAGCTAACCTCGAAACAGGTGGGAGAGACGAACCGGATGTTAAAATGAACTCATTGCGCTTTATGAAGATATGACTCTGATCACACATTTTTTTTCCCTGTTCAGTATACTGAAAAAAAATAATTGAATTAATATAGAATACGTAATATATTATAATAAGATTGTTTATTTGAGGAAATATGAAGGATTCGTAATTTTAATTAGAATATTCTGGTTTAATTACTGTTATCACACATGTTAGTTCCGTGCATTCTGATGGAAATAATGAAACTTTGATTGAAATATAATAGCAATATTATATTATATCTCTTATTAATAGAGTACGATAACTAAATTTCAGTTGATACGTAGATATCTAAAACTTTAGTAGTGTAATAAATTTTAATTATTTCGTTATAAATAAGGGTTATAAAAATACCATATGTATTCGTGTTCGAAGCCAATTTTGAAGATTTGCATTCAACAAACTATTTTATTAAAGCAATTGCATTGCGAAAAACGAGCGAAATCTAATTAATATATTACTTTTATGCAATCGGGAGTTTTAATATTGTCTAATGCGTTAATATATTTCACGCAATTTATTGTTCTTTTTTTACAAAATAAATATTGCATCATATTATTAATTATGTAAAGGTGAGTTTATTACACAACATAGAACAATTTTATGTATTAAACGAATGTATGGTAATCATATTTGTGTACTTATATCTGATCAGACAAGTAATGAATTTGTAATTTTTTTTTATAAAAACATAATTTCCTATAGAAATTTTACGCAGTGAAAAATGTTTTTGATAAGATAGAGCATGTATCGTGTATCCATCGTCGGCTAAACGAATTAATAATGTCAATAATCTCAATGTAATCTACAAGATTCTCATTCTCATGCCTATAATAATTCTTGTGGTTTAATTTAAAAAAAATTAACGAACTGTCTGATTAAATTGGCACACGTTGTATTAGTGCGAGGTATACGTTCGCATATGAATGTCATAACGCGAACTCTCGGCTTCGTGCCGTGTCCGTAATGAAACCGGTCGCCGTGACGCGTCGACTTGTATTAATTAGAATGCCGGATTCGATGCCGGCCACAGATAAACGAGCGGTGCAACATTACAATGTTACCAAACAATGCCGCCGTTGGCCCGGTATCTCGACGTCGCGGTACAGTGACGTCGATATCTGCATTAAAGGAACATTTACATCTCTCGGAGAACCGGGTCGGAGGAGCTGCGGGTCCGCATCCGCGACCGGTCAAATCGCCGAATCATAGTCGAGCCTGATCTTCGCTTGTCGATTAGATGTATCAGTGTAATTAACAACAAACAATGGCCGCGAGAGACGCACGGGCTCGATATCGTGTATTAATCGATTACCCTCTCCGGTCAGGCCCCGGAGATATGCGCCGGGCCCGGCTGTTAATCATCACCGCGGGTGCGTTTGTACCACCGACGTCCATCCT